TGTGGTGGGGGGGGGGGGGGGGGGGGGGCATGTTGGGAATTGAACTTAGGGTCTTACACTCTGCTACTGCACTGTACTCCCAGCTTAACTTTGAACTTAAAAAAACAAAACAAAACAAAGAACCCACCACAAACCATATTAACTGGGAATAGTGGTGCACACCTTTGATCCCAGTACTCAAAAGGCAGAGAGAGGTGGATCTCTGTGAGTTCAAGACCATATGGTCTACATAATGGAATTCCCAGAAAGTCAGAGCTACATGAGAGAACCTTGTCTCAAATATATACGTATGTATAGGTGTGTATGTATAGGTATGTATGTATGTACGTACACACACAGACACACACATAAAATTTATTTTTGTTTATGTCTATGTGTGTGCCTACATGCACAAGTGTACCGCCTGCATGCAGGTGCTGCCCCAGGAAGCCACAGGGCCTGCCAGATGTCTGGGCACTGGAGTTACAGGGAACCGTGACTCTCCTGATGTAGGTGCTGAGGAGTGGACCTGGGTTTGGATTGCTCTTGACCACTCATCTACCTCTCCATGCACTTCAACCTTTAACTTGGGATCCACTCCAGCTTCAGTAGCTACTGTTTCACAAGATGCAGACACACCTGTGAGCATTACAAAAGGGCAGCACAGAAGACAGCACTCTCAAGTCACCCTAATGCTAATGCTCCAACACTGATGTGGGCCAGGCACAAAGGATGTCTGAAGCAGGAACTGGCTCGGGAGGCCATCACCTCACCTGTGAACTGGACCATGCCCCCCCACCAAGGTCCCTCACAGGATTAAGGGTGTGAATTCCTAACACTGGACCAAGTCAATGCCCTTCCCTAGCCCCCCTCTTGGACTTCCCCAAGCAGATCTATAGACATGGTGAGACTGAGACAGACAGGCTGCCCTCTCACACCAATGCCAGCCCACCTTTCTCTGCCTCACTCAACAAGAGCAGCATGCAGATGGCGGGACACTGAAACACACTTGGCTGCTGAGAAGGCACCTGTGCAATAAAGCCTGTGGCCGAACGAATCCTACCAGCACTTTCCATTTCAAGAGATTTAGAAGCTGCAAATCTATGGAAATCTGTGGAAGTGCAAACCTATCATCCTAGGGGAGGCTGAGGCAGGAGGATTACAGGAAGTAGTTGGGGCCATCTTGGGCTACAGTAGTGGCAGCCTGTCTCAAAAATACCAGAGAAAGGCTGGGCAGTGGTGGCAGACTCCTTTAATCCCAGAACTCAGGAGGCAGAGGCAGGCGGATCTCTGTATGAGGTCAGCCTGGTCCACAGAGCGAGTTCCAGGACAGGCTCCAAAGATACACAGAGAAACCCTATCTCCAAAACAACAACAACAACAAAAAACAGAAAGAACTGTCAAGAATTGTCAGTACCAACTCTACCAATGAGACATAGGCTCTCATGTCTTGTGAATTAACGGGCCGCTTGCTAGGATTAACTGCATGTCACTACACCAGAGGTCCCCTTCGTACAGTAAGGTGCTATGTTTAGGGTCAGTGGCAGGACAGCCAAGCTCTAAGTTAAGAGAGGAGGAGGAAAGGGATGGGAGGGGCCTACCGTGTATATTCAGATCCCACCACTCGGGCATACTCAGCACCCACGCCCAGGAGGTCACAGGCTGATACCAGGTCCTTCTCCAGTGTGTGCAGTTGCTGAAGAGGAGAAAAAGCAATGACCATGTCTGCCAATGCCTATCCTTAACTTGCCTCAGTGTGGCTGAGCTGCCAACATCAGCACAGTCACTACAGTGTTAGTTTGGAGCTCAAGCACCAAAGCAGCTATCAACGCTAACTGCTGAGTACACAGTTGAGTACACATGCCTCATGCTGTCACTTCAGCTTACCAGTGCACTGAATCAGCAGTCCAGGCTCTCGGGCAGACCCAGTGCATACCAAGTGGGTTACTAGGAAGGACTCCCTCAGGAGCAAGGGAATAAGGAATCCTGAACAACTGAGAGACCAAATCTGTGGATCCCTGGAAGGTCATGTGCAGATACTTGGTATGGAGCTCGGCTCCCTTGCACACAGTGTCATGTAGCTGCCTAGCCCACTTCCTCAGCTGCTGGCAACAGCACAGGGGAGGACACAAGGAGACAATGTGAACATGGAAGCCCAAGGAGATCTCCTAGGGAAAGGTCCTGAAGTCCAGTGTCTTTGGCTATGGGGGCGAGAGGGCTGTATCACAGGAGACAGGGGACATGACAGATGGCCAGGTCAAGGGCAGGCAACACCAGCAAGGGGTCACCCAGGTACCCCTGAGAAAAAGATGTAGACAGGATACAGGAAAGAGGTGACTGACAGAGTAGAGCAGCCTGTCCCTCTATGGTAGCCAGGAGGCCTCCCAAGGACAGCCTGTGTGACTGGCACTTGAGTTCATGCCTCAAGGTCTCACTAGCTCCTGTACTCACGGCGAGCTGGAAGAGCAGGCGGCAGTGCCAGTATGGCGTCTGTTGTGAGATCTGAATGGCTTTCCGCAGCAGTGGCTTTGCTGCATCCACAGAGTTCTGAAAGGAAACAGTTTCAAGTTTAAGGACGAGGACAAGCTGGCGGTGGAGCTGAACCCTGATATAGCAGCTGCCACTTTATGGGGTAAGATGGGAATGCTAGTACTTGCTGCTTGGGGAAAAGTCTGGATGGCTTCTGAAATCACTTCTTGACAGGAGTGGTGGCTCACACCTGACTTATCAATGCTTGGGAGCCTGAAGCAGGACTGCCTATGAGTTTAAGGCCAGCTAAGCCACTCTGTTCCAAGGTTTTTGTTTTTGTTTTTAAATTTAATTTAGAGTATAAAAGGCAAGCGTGGTGGCTTATGCCTTTAATCTCGGCATTAAAGATGCAGATCTCTCTGAGCTTGAGTTCAGCTTGGTCTACATAGTGGGCTGGAGGACAGCCAGAGATATGTAGAGAGATCCTGTCTCAAAAAACAAACAAACAAACAAACAAACAAAAAAACCCCAAAAACTCAAAAAACAAAACAAGGAACAAAACAAAATTCAACAAACAAACCCCAAAAGTTTAGAATATAAAATATAATAGTCTCTCTGTTATTCAGACAAGTATGGTAGGCTATGTCACCTGGGATCTCAGTAATCAGGCAGCTTTGAAGCCAGTCTAGGCTAGGCTACACAGCAAATTCTTGTCCAGTTAGGGGGTAGGTAGGTACATAGTGAGACCGTGTCTGTCTGTCTGTCTGTCTGTCTGTCTGTCTGTCTGTCTGTCTGTCTGTCTGTCTGTCTGTCTGTCTGTCTGTCTGTCTGTCTGTCTGTCTGTCTGTCTGTCTGTCTGTCTGTCTGTCTGTCTGTCTGTCTGTCTGTCTGTCTGTCTGTCTGTCTGTCTGTCTGTCTGTCTGTCTGTCTGTCTGTCTCTCTCTCTCTCACACACACACACAGGGTAGCTGGAGAGATGGCTCGGTGGTTACAGGTACTTGCTGATCTTGCAGAGGGCCTAGATTCAGTTTCCAGCACCACATGGCAGCAACCATCTGTTACTCCAGTTCCATGGGATCTCATATCTTCTTCTAAACTCTGGACAACTGGCAAGGATGTGGTACACTCACATATACAAAACACTGAACACCCATAGAATAAAAATAAAAGCTGAAGGGTGGGGGGCCCTGAGCACCTCCTAGTTCTGGTGTCTGCAGCAATCATGGTGTGAATTCCTAGGGTCTGAGGGTGGAATACAATGTGAACTTCTACCCAACTGGCAGCCATAATCTCCTGGTAGGCCCAGGAGACAGGGAGACTCTGCTTTCAGAACTAGTAACATGTTCTCACCTCTTGACAATACAGCTCTGACAACAGGCTTGCTGCCTCAAATTTAACATCTTCAAACTGTGGGATCTGGGGAAGTCCAGGTAAGGAAGTACAATGCAAAGACATTTCTTTGTTTGTTTTGGTTTTGAGACAGGGTTTCTCTGTGTAGCTCTGGCTGTCCTGGAACTCACTCTGTAGACCAGGCTGGTCTCAAACTCACAGAGATTCACCTGCCTCTGCCTCCCAAGTGCTGGGATTAAAGGCATGTGCCACCACCACCTGGCCCAGACTTCTCTTTTAAAAGGGCCACAGCTCCAAGTGAGTCCTCCTGCCCCTCCATGCTGCAGGATAAGGACCCTGCTGCCCAGAGCAGTGGCTGGCTTCCAGGGCAGCTAGGGCACATGGTATGCCAGGGAAGGGGATGTTTTTAGCTTTTACCACAGATTTTCATTCAAGCAGAACATTCCCTCAAGAGTACAGTACAGGGCCTTAGGGTGTGGCTAAGTGGCAGAACACTTGCTTAGCATGCTCCAGGTCCTGGGTTCCATCACCAGCACAGGCACCCCACAACACACACAAGAAAAGGATACTTGTTGTGATATCAACCACTGAAAGAGAAAGAAAAAGGATTAATTAATTTTGGGTCAAATGCTTGGTACCTAGCTATGCAGTTCATGCTGGGGCTGGCACAGTGTGCCCATCACCAAGAACAGTGTGTGTGTACGCTTGCTTTCCTGCAATCTGGCCAGGGGGAATGGAAGCTGCAGAGCACTTAATAGATGCCTAATAAAGAGGGGACCTCTGTAGGGAGATACTGTAACCATGCCTCCTAAGGGCTGGCTACAGGTGTGCTTGACCACGCCTGTCAGGGCGTGGTCAAGGTGAGGTCAGGATGACTTGTGTTAGATTCTTAAGGGGCTGCAGACACGTGGGGGCCCCTTCTCTCTGGCCTCCCTGCCTTGCTGCCTCTGGGCACGCCCTGGCTTGTGCTTGGCTGGTATTTACCTGAATAAAGGTATTTTGAATCTACAAGCCTTCTTCCTGCAATCTGGCCAGGGGGAATGGAAGCTGCAGAGCACTTAATAGATGCCTAACAAAGAGGGGACCTCTCCTTCTAACATCAGACAAGGAGCTAATGCTCCCACTTACTCCAGGGAGGGAACCCCAGCGTAATCTAGGCCATATTCCATGCTTCAGCAGGGCTGATGGTATCTGGCACATTCAACAAAGCTTTGCCCAAAGAGTGAGTTATACTTGGGGAAGAGGTTGGTGTATAGGGACATATCCCTCCTAAAGAAGTGGCATATCAAAGAGGCTTGAAGTTGGCATAGCTAGCCTCAGAAGGGAAGTGTACCAAAACACCCTCAAAACAACAAAAAACCCTGGGGAGATGCTCAGTGGTTAGGAGTGTTTACTGTTCTTGCAGAGGACTCACGCTTGGTTCCCAGAACCCGTCATGCTGGGTAGCTGACAACCATCTGTAACTCTAGTTTCTCAACATCTTTAGCCTCCACAGGCACACACATTCAGATGCACACACAAATAGAAGCATGGTGACGCACACCTTTAATCCTGCACGGGAGAGGCAGAAGCAGGTGGATCTTTATGAGTTTGAGGCCAGACTGGTCTACACAGCTACCCAAAGCTAATGGTGAAACTCTGTCTCCAAATAAATAAGTAATAAATAAAAGTATTCAGAGGGCCAGCTTTGATTTAGGGAACCACTGTGTCTAAAGCTGCATGTTCCAACAGGCTCCTAGCTAGGGTGCCATGCAAAGCACAGTCATTGGGATCTTCACTTCAGGGACTTCCTAAGAACATCTAACACTGACCTGCCAACCTAGGGTCCAACAAACAGTAACCAAGAAACTAACATTTGAGAAGAGCCTGACAGGTGTAGACTGGTGGACTGGGCCGTGGCCCACTCCACTGGGTCAAAGGGCTACACAAAATGGGGTACTTAGTGCTGGGCTTTGAAGGCTAGAGTAGAATGTGAGTACAGGGCTCTGTAGGAAAGAGGAAGCAGGATGCTCCGGACACAGAAAAGCTAGTAAGAAAGGGACCAAGACCTGGACCAGCTAGGCTACAAAGCTGGTGGCTTAGCGCCACTCATGCAGTAGTGGTGACTAGGAGTCCACCCCTGGGTGTGGAGCCTGACCTAGTGGGGAAGAATCAAAGTACCTCCCAGGTTATTTTTTAAAATCTATTTATTTGTGATTTATTACATGTGTACAAGCACACATGCATTCAACAGGCCGTGGTGTGAATGTGGAGGTCAGCTTGTAGAAGTCAGTTCTTTTTATTATTTTGTTTTGTTTTCTAAGACAGGGTTTCTGTGTGTAATAGTCCGGGTTGTCCTGGAACTCCCTCTGTAGACCATGCTGGCCTCAAACCCGCTGTAATCGGGCTGCCTCTGATTCCCGAGTACTGGGATTCAAGGCATGCACCACCAGTGCCCAGCAAGGAGCCAGTTCTCACCATGCTCTCTCCGTTACTCCCTTGAGCAGGGGTAAGCTAGCAGTTAGCAAGCCCTAGTTCTCCTTCCTCAGCAGCCACAGCCCTGGGGTCCCCAGTGGGGCTATACGCACAGGCCAGTTCTTTCAGGTAGAGACTGAGATCTGCACTCAGGTCCTCATTCTTCAATAGCAACAGTTTTCACCCAGTGGGCTTTGCCCAGCCTCATGATTTTTGGTTTTTGAGGCAAGGTCATGCTGGCCTTGAACTACTAGCATCTTTTTTTTTCTGTCTCAGCCTCCAAAGTGCAGGGATTATAAGGATGAGTCAGCACACCCAGTTTACAGGCTTCTTATTCATAGGAAACAAAGTAACACAGGTCTCCTAACCCAAGTAGAGATAGCTAGTGACTGCCACAATCAAGACTGGAAACAGAGGGAGCTTCCCTAGTCCTGCTATGGGCACCTAAAGTTCTGGAACAGCTTCCAGCCAACATCTGAGTGTGGGCATAAGGAAATAGGAGGGGTGGACAAGCCGTCTCAGAGGGTGCTTAGCACCAAGCCTGAGCACCTAGGAGAGCAGACTCCCACAAGTTGTCCTGTGACCTGCACACATGCTCTGTGTACATATGTTGGAGCCCAAAAACATCAATTATGGGTATTTTGGATACAGGCCTCAAGCTCTATCCCATGAGCTCGAATCTCACATTGTCTTTTAGATGGCAGCTGGTTACAGCTGGATGGCTTGGCCTCAGTGGAGAGTGTCTCCTAGTTTGCATGACAACAGACCTAGGCCCTGGGTGGTCCCACACCTATTCTGAGGGCTTATATGCATGCCTAGGGACTGGGGAGAGGCTGGTGAGGATGTACAGTTTTAGGGGTGTCTCTAGGATTAAAGGAAATATTTGACATCAGCTTTATACATGATAATAGATGTCTTCTGTGGTCACCCCCACAGTTGGAAAGCTTTTTAAGAGGATGCTTGAATAAACCGTGGACTCCAGACTCCAGCATGGACTGAGAGCCCTCCTGAGATGACAAGATGCGTCGGTCTCCTGGCTACCCCGAGGCCACACTCTCCCACTCAGGGATGGAACCGGGGCTGTTTGGCTGGCTCCGATTGCAGCCCCAAAGACATCAGTTCGGAATAGATGGCCTCTGTAGGGTGGGACTGACACAGGCAGGACCCGGGCACATGCGTGCATACACTAAACAATGTGTATGCACATCGAGGGCGTCAGATCCTCTAGAACTGGAGTTGCAGACTGTTGTGAGCCTCCAAGTCAGGAGGGCTTTATTCCATTGCTGAGGACCCAGTGAGAGGGAGCTTAACACAGGGTTGGCACATAAACATAGAGAACAGAACAGTGTTCTGAAGACAGGATGAACTGGAAGAGGCAAGCAGAGGTGAGTCAGAATGAATGGTGATGCTGACTTTAGGTCTTGAAGTCAGAGGTGATGGAGAGAGTGAGAGAGGAGAGAGCACAAAGGGAAACAGGAAGAAGCACAGGTTATAGTTCATGGAACTGTTCTGCACCATGGCGGAAGCCTGGGCATGGGTTTCTACTGCAGGACTATACAGCATGGAATCTAGTAGTACATGGTCAATATCCAGGAGAGAAAGAGCTGCTCCATCTGATGAGCCTCAGACACCAAGAGAAAGGGAAGAGACTCCCAGGCTAAGCAGAGAATAACAGTGAGAGCTGCTTTCCAGGTCAGATGAGCAAAGCCGTCATCACAGAGCAGTTAGGGCGGGTACTGCACACACTTGCCCAGGAGCTTGAGATCAACCCGGCCAACCCCACCTAGCAAAATAACTTAGAGAAAGCAAGCCATCACTGTGGTATCCTCAGCCAGGCCAGAGAATAACTATAGATGCAGAAAACAACAATTCCTTTCTCCGTGGCTTTCAAATGGGGAGCATTTAAGAATAGTAATATACACTGCAGAGCCAGAGACAAAAGAGAGTATGGGATTCAAAGAACAAAGTCTGGGATTCGCAGAGCTAGTAGGAAGCATGCGGTAGGACGCATGCTCAAGCATGTAGCAAACGCCTAGGTTTAATATCTAGCACTACAAATTAAGAGGAGGCTGGGAGATGCTCAGTCAGCAAGTACTACCTGAGTTCTGATGCCCAGCACCTACATAAGCAAGGTTCTATGATGCAGGCCCTGGACTCCAGTTCTGGGAAGCAGAGAACAAGGATTCCTGGGTTTGCTGGACAGCCAGTCTACACAATTGGTGATCTCCAGGTTCAGTTTCCATTCCTGTCTCAAACTCAGGGAGAAAACTACTAACACCACTCACAGTCTTTCAGTCTCATGGGAGAAGGGCAGACCACTGAAATGAACCTGTCTGCTTGAAGGATGGGTGTGAAAATGAGGCAGATGCCACATTTTGGCTTTGAAGACAAGATCAAATTCACACAGAAATAGCAGAATCTGCGAAAGAATGCAGCCTCACACATCAGCTTTCAGGCTCAAGGAAAGTAGTTTCTATGAAGATGAAGAGTTCAGACCATTGTGGCTTGCTGGGGCGTTTCTGAGCAGCAAGAATTCCCACATGTGCACATCCCACAAGGATTCTAAAGAGGACGGCTTTACACCCTCTAAAGAGGGACGTGTGTGTGTGTGTGTGTGTGTGTGTGTGTGTGTGTGTGTGTGTGTGTTAAATTTCTGGCCTTCTCTTATTTACAGGATTTCCCGAGACTCCAAGTGCTGCTAGGAAGCCAGCGTAAGACAAACATTCCCAGGGATGGAGAGATGGCTGAGCAGTTAAGAGCACTGGCAGCTATTCCAGGACATGGAGGTTCACAACAGTCTGCAACTCCAGTTCTAGAGGATCTGACACCCTCACATAGATATACATGCAGGCAAAACACCAATTCACATTAAAAAACAAAAAACAAAACAAAACAAAACAAAAACAAAAGACAGACAAACACTCCCACCCAGCTTTCCCACATACCCAATCAAATATTATGGGATCATGGTCTCTTTCTCAAAGTACCTTATTGCTTTGAACTTACCCTACTTTATTTATGGTAACAGTTGCTATACTCTGTAAGGTGACTGAATGACACAGGGACTGTGTCTAGACATCAGGCTACAACTGAAGAGCTGTTGAATGCAGCACTTCGGCACCTTACTTGATAC